AATGTTGTTGTTGTTGTACATAACATTGAATGTTGTTGTTGTTGTTGTACATGTCATTGAATGTTGTTGTTGTTGTTGTACATGTCATTATATGTTGTTGTAGTACATGTCAATTTTTAAAGAATTGCTAAGGAAAGAATTGCACGAAACCATTAACATATGAGTGACAATGAAGATAAACACTTTCTGTGTTGTGTTTAGATTCTGTTATCACTACTTTATAAACATAATGCTCCAACAGTATCAAACACATACTGTGGTTCTGAAATCAGCGGTCACCACGCCCCCGATTGCAGTGTTAGTATGGAATGTTACGTGTATCAATCTTGTTAAATGAGGTCTCTAAATTATTAACATCCAACGGGTGCTGCTAAAAGGCGGCACGGAGTGTGAAACTGAATGCGGAACGGAACTATTGAGAAATAGTCTGTCTTTATACAATGTTTGTATACTTCGCCATCCTAAACGAGTAATATTGTGTGTTATGCTTCACAGACCCCACTGTCATTTCGGTTAAACACATTAAATGTTCCACCGTGGCGAAGTTATTTAGTCTATCAGTCGCCATTATTTGTAACAGAGCACAACGCTTATTGAATATTTAAAGTACTTTGAAACACTTTAAAGGTGCGGTTTCGTGTTTGGTCCTTTTCTAATTCACGGGACTGTTGTAGCACCATGGGTCTTTTGTCAGACTTGGAGAGCGGGGAACCAAATCCGGTCGCCACATCCTACGTATGACACATGCATCTTTTCTTACTACATATCTTAGTAGCCTTGTGATCGTGTTTGCTTTCCCATCACATTGTGTATTTTCTTCTTCTTATCCATCTCAGTTGGTTACTGAGTTTTTTTGTAATTCACTGGACAGTTAATTGGGGTTTTCTAATTCACAGGACAGTTCACGGGTGTTTTCTAATTCACAGGACTGTTCGCATGGGTTTTCTAATTCACAGGACTGTTCGCATGGGTTTTCTAATTCACAGGACTGTTCATTGGAGTTTTCTAATTCACAGGACTGTTTTCTAATTCACAGGACTGTTCATTGGAGTTTTCTAATTCACAGGACTGTTCACTGGAGTTTTCTAATTCACAGGACTGTTCACTGGAGTTTTCTAATTCACAGAGGACTGTTCACTGGAGTTTTCTAATTCACAGAGGACTGTTCACTGGGGTTTAGGTAATAAGAAATGGTTTAGCATCCCCAATCATTTAATTTGTGAAATCTTGTATAAAGCTTGCAAATAAAACGAAACATACCCCGAATGTAACTAAGTCGTCCGAAGAGTCCATGAAAGTTGTCGATTACTTTTTTAGATAGAGAGCGAGCGGATTTGGGGTGTTAAGTGTGGTTCAATTCTATTTCAATATTTCGAAGCACGTGGAGATGCCGGAGTATACCCACAAGGTTGGACACGAGACTCTACTCATAGGATCGATTAAACCACGCAACTGCCAGTGAAGGACGTTGGTTTGATGCATGCACGTGCAGAAAAGTAGGACGTTAAACCCATTTCGTAAAGCTACAATTTTTTAAATTGTTCAGCAAACACCGGGGATTTGTTATTAGTAGGCCCGTGGGTCTATTAGGTCTATATCTTGAATACTATATTATACAAAAATAAATGTATTTATAGGTCTAAATAGTACAGAACAAAATAGAAAATAATTGTATTTATAGGCCTGAACACTTGAACTAGAGATCAATGAATATTTAATAGTAAAATATGCCTTAAACATGCATTATGCAAGAGCTAAATAATCCTATTTCAGGACTTTCTTTAAACTTTAATCAACTCTCGATGCCATCTTATGTGTCGGATTTTCAATGGATTTGTATCCGGTTTGCTGCTCAACGCTCATTGATGATTTAATCCAAAGATGCATAATCGAGACTATGTTTTTTATCGTACCGATTTTAGTAACGATCATCGAGGCTAGGCCTAAAATTCAAACGATAATATCTCGGTTCAGAGTGGAGCAATTTGATTGAAATTTTCAGCATATGTCCTTTACATTATCTAGTTTTTCACTATTATAGTGTGAACTGCCAGCTCGTTATCTTATCTTCCATTATGCCCCTTTAAATAAACAAAACAAAAGATAAAAATCAATGACAAATATGACGATTATTATTTTCTTACAAATATAGATAAGCGAATATTTATTAAATTAAGTGAATAGAAGACATGTCTTCTCATATTATCAGCACATAGCATTTCTTCGTTTTGTTGTGGATTTTCCGCTAGTTCTTTTTTTTACAGCAGAATAAACAAATACGCCAGAAATAAAGGAATCCCGATCATCAAGTCGCGTTGTCCCTATTTTTGGCGTTCGCTGTTTTGGGAGAATCAAAGCCACCGGCTAATCGGGAGTTTTAACATTAAACATTTCTAAGAGCCGAGGATACCCGTGTTTTCATTTAGGTGGGGGTTGGATGGCCGATTGGTTAGCGCGTGCGCGCTGCATCATAAGGTCTGTCATTGAGTCAACTGGCGTGGTTCCGATTCCCCGGTTGTACGTGACACGGAGTAGGGTCGCCTGTACAACTTCATAGGTTTTCTCTGGGTTCTCCGGTTTCCGCCCACTGCTACGGCCCCTACGCGCAAGCGAATTATTGAAATAAAATTGAACCATATGTTAGCCCCGAAATGACCTAGTCTGTGTCGAGTGGACGTTAAACCCCATCTCTCTCTCTCTCGCCCTCTTGCTCTCTCTCTCCCCCTCTCTCTCTTTTTCTCTCTCTCTCTCTATTTGGTGACCCATCTTTGAAAAGGTTCACATGTTTTTTGACAGCAGCAGAAGGTTTTAAGATCAGTGTAACATCTATATCGATCAAATTGCGAACATGAACAACTGCGTAGCTAATGTGTAAATATGTAAATACAAAACGTTGTTGATTAAGTATTCATTGTATTGTCTTGTTGTTTATTCTTTTATATATCTACATTAATTCTTGTATTTAGGAGAGAAGTTATATAGGCTAGGCCTATTCCCCAATCCCTTTCACTTTCTGAATAAAATATTATTTACACAAAAGAAAAAATATTGCCATGTTATAAATGTTTACAGAGATTTTGGAAACCCGGTTCAACAGCATAATTACATATCCTCAGTGGCGGACTAGCCAGGCTGTCAGCTTGTCCAATGGCAACTGGGCTACAGAGGAAGGGGGAACCCTTAGGCATTAGACAATATATTTAAAATATAAATTATCAAAAAATATATAAATATTAGAAAAAAATTATTAGCATGAAAATTGGGAGTCACGGTGGAAATGTAATTGATGCATTTTAAATGATTGTAGGAATTTACACTAAATTTACTAGCTTTATTTGTGATATTTTAATGTTTTAATTATTTTAAATGTTCTGTATGATGAATATATTGATCAAATGAAAGAAAGAAAAAAGACTCTGGCTCGCTAGCCTGGAGGTCGGGTGTTCGATCCCTGCATTGGCCGAGAAAGTTCATCCAGATTTTCCGGTGTGATCCCCCCCCCCCCCCTTTGCCAGTCAGTAATTACATGCCTAAGCTATAATTGTCAAGTCACAAAAAGAGCTACAATAGGCAAACTTAACTCTTACACAATTCTTTAAGAAATCCTGGAAACGCTTTGGCCCACGTTTTCGAACAGTGTCTAAAATAATATGCGATTAGGTCTAATCAGTCACTAGCTAATTAGAGATTAGTGTTTGACTAAGTTTGGGGTTCTCAAAAGTCAGATAAGCTAATCTTTGACTATAATCTTTTTGTAATCAACGATTAAAATTCATGTTTAAACTTTGATTATAATTAAAAATTTAATCAATGACTAAATATAATCAGTGCTTAAAAAGGCTTTTATCATTGTTAAAGGGGCCCAATTACAGGAAGTAGATTAGAAAAGTACATGTTTTAGAACAGTTTTTCCCATCTTAGGGTCCGTGAAATTATTTTTGGGGTCTGCATAGTCAAAGCATGAGATGAGGAAGCCTGTTGATTTTCAATGATTTCTGATAATTACTGTCAGCATTATGGACCTTGATCACTTGAACGCTGTGAACGCTCTAGAAGCTAAAGTTGGTATCCGATTGACTTTAGATTTATACACAATGATGAGGACACCTCTAGATTTTCAACGATTTCCAATAATTAATACCATAGTTAAGGCCCTTGATCACTTTGAAACATCTTGTTGATGCTCTAAAGTCAATATCCGACTAATTTGAAATTTAGTCCTATTGATTGTCAATGCTTTCCGATAATTACTTCCAGAGTTATAATCCTTGATGATAAATGTTTGTATTGTAAACGTTCATATAGGGCAGTACTAGAAGCTAAACAAATTCTTAAATGTTTTCATTACGGACCAAAGAAAAAAATGTGACAACCCTTGTTGACTGCCGGACGACTTAGCCGCTGTTGGTTCCCTTTTGTGCTAAGAGGTTGATGTGCTCCTTTCTTTGCGATTCCTTTTGTTAAAAGGTTCTTTGACATTTCTAAAAAAATTATCTTGTAGTTTATTCATTTTGACTAAAGTATACATAGTTATTTATGTTTTATATGATAGCGAATTTTTAATATTTCAAAAAATTTTTTTAACAGAATTTACGGTGAATGTGAATTTGTTGCTTTCGTAGCAAAATATAAGTGTAATGTGTCTGAATTCAATGAAAAATAATCATTTCTATAACATTCAATACATTGTAATTGTATATCCTTGCACTTAATCCTTCCTTAAACTACCCCCCCGAGATGACTAAATATTGGAGTGATTTAGTCAATGATTAAGTACAAGTCAACGTTCCAGAATACCACACTTTATGGTATTCTCGAACAATGATTAACCCAACAATTAGGCTAATCAAAGTTTATAAAAATCTTAGCTTAAAATTTAATCAGCTTTTCAGAATATGGCTGGTCAGAAAATCAGAGATTAAATCTATTATTAGCACTAATCCACTTTCGAAAATACGGGCCTTTAAAGTTGTTGTTTTTTTGTTCTTTAACATTTACAGCTGAACGACTACATGATGTTAATTATGAAGTATTTCAAACGAACCCGGATGTTAACAACTCGGACGTCCCCAACTGCTGTGCATCTGTGCCGAATTTCAATAAAAGAAAGAATATCATCCGATGCAATGAAAACGTTGCTGGAAGATTCTTGAAAATTTCCATCCAGAAATCCAATTTCTTGACACTCTGTGAAGTTGAAGTTTATGGAGTTTTGTGTGAGTATCATTGATCGATTGTGAGCAGTATGTTGAAATGAATTGTAATGAGTTGATTATGGTCTGGATAAGTTAATTAATGTGTAAATGTATATAGCATTTCAGGCCTAAAGAAAGACCTGCAATAGGCAGGTTTAGCTCTTGTATAATGTATGTTTAATTTTACCGACCAATTACATCGTTATTCCCGTGAGCGGCTGTATAGGTAGGATCACCCGTGCCATGCGCTGTCCATGGATCTCAAATGCTGCTAAGACCTGCCTGATATCATAATAAGTGTTAATATATATTTTAGTGGATGACTGTGGTATAAATGACTATGGATCCCAGACGTACAGATGTAAACAGCTACCAGGTATCCATCTATAATTGTATCTATATTATCTATAATTGGAAGATAATAATTACCAGAATGAAACCTGGGAATTTAACCAAGACTTTGTCTGTAATCGTAGCCCATTTTGGGGCTCAGTGGGAATTCGGTAATTTTCTAGTGCAGGATTGGGAGCCTTAAATAAAACAGCGTCTGGTTATTCGGATGGAGCGACAAACCATGTTCCGTGTACATGTTAGAGTGCACACAAAAGAATACTTGACAGTTGGAGAAAAATAGACCGTAGCGCCACCGTCCTGACACAATTACCCTAATAGCACACTGTATGGTGTATACCCGTCTTGATTACTTTTTTTGGACCAACCGGGATTATGACAATCTGGTTAAAACACAGATCCTATTTCGTTTCGTTTTTTTAGTTCAAATTTTCGTTTTACTTGTCTTTACTACACTTGGATCTGGAAAAGTTGTTATTTAACTCGTGTTCTGATTGAAATGAGGGGTCAGCCAATCAAATGGTCTGTCGAATCGAGTGTTTGACCTTTTTAGCCCGGAACTGTGGGTAATCCATTAGTAACATCAATGCTGATTGGTTAATCAAATGTCTGACGTCATAGGTCAAAAGTCGGTCTTTTGACCCCTGACATGACCTATCGCTATAACTTGTCAGATCTTCATGTAGTGTAGGCCATCGAGTACAACTTGTCAGATTTTATGTAGTGTAGGCCATCGAAAGTATAAAAAAACGAAACGAAATATAGATCTGTATTTTAATCTGATTGGGATTATGAAGACGTGCCATGCACTGTTTATTGCCATGACATTTTTCTTTACAGCTGTGTTTCCTTCATCCTGTGCTTCAGGATGGCCGGATGGTTAGCACGTGTGCGCTGTATCAGAAGGTCTGCCATTGCTTCAACTGGCGTGGTTTCGATTCCCCGGTTGTACGTGACAAGGAGTAAGGTCGCCTATCCATCCAACCTCGTGGGTTTTCTCCAGTTCCTCCGGTTTCCTCCCACTGCTCAAGACCCCTAAGCGAAAGCAAATTATTGAAATAAAATTGAACCATATGTTACTCCCGAAATGACCTAGTTTGTGGCGAGTGGATGTTAAACCAAATTTCTTTCCCGTCCTGCATTTATATATTTTTAGTGATAGGGGCAGAAACTTCACCTGAAATCAAATCTATGCTATACGTTGAATTGCATTTTTTCTTTTTAAAGGTGGACCTAATGTAGCTCTTAATAAACCATCCACAGACAGTTCATCGTTCTTCGGAAAAACCTTGGCGAGTTGGGCTAATGACGGTGTTGTACAAACTTCCGGTCACGAGTGTCAACATACGCATTATGATGACAGCAACCCCTGGTGGCAAGTTGATTTACAGGCCACATATAATATTACCAGTGTTACCATTGCTAACAGATTCGAATATAAGGAAGGTAAATATTATCCAATCAATGACAGATCTAATGATGCACCCCCCACCCCCTGCAAACAGGAACAGCCGGTCCTATATTCGATAGTTTATATATTAGCGGACAAATTGTATTTTCTTCGCCTAATCTGTCTGGTGGATTTCAACTAAAAATGATCTGGTGTTGCCATAGAAACAATTAAAACACGTGGACACAGATCACCAAATATTCCTCCGCCATCACGAAGTAATGGTCAAAGTTATTTTAGTCTTTCTCTCCCTTCCCCCTTTTCCATGAAGATCTTTGAATATACATTTTTTGTCAGGTTTTGGTGAATGATCTTGATTTTGAGACGGGAAGATGCGAGAGTTTATAGCTATAGGTTGGTTATATAAGGTTGGCATGCTGGGCGGACAGTTGTATGCTACTTTCAGTTTGTGTATCTTAAGTTTTGCATGGTGAACCCCCATACTCCTTGCAGTGTTTCGTTTGATTAGAGCTAATCCAACTACTCACTGCTGTAAAGAAAGAAAATTCTTGTTCCAAATTATGACTCCAAAATGAAACAAATATGTTTACATAACGTTACGTCATGGCTCACGATTTTATTATGCGCAATTAACCAGTGCATGACATAATATTGCCGAAAAACTAATTGTGTGACAAACGAGGCTATCAACACGTATATAATATAAACAATACTGTTTTGAGACGAACAACACTTTCACCGTTTTTAATACCTTAAATCACTGTCCAAAGTTTTAGGAAAGACCCCAGATTAAACGACGCGCTGTCATGCTGCTGTGCTTGAGGAAGAACAGACACACTCCCTCTAAAGCGCAGGTATCAGAAGCTGGCCAGAGAGGGATTTCTCGGACTATTGCTTCAGGAATATGGATGAACCCCATACCTGCTTTTGAGGAAGAGGTCGTCACATGTTGCTCCATCTGTGATTGAAAGCGCTGGACCGCACGACAATGTGGGAAAACGTTAGAGCCGATCTAAGAGACGAGAATTAACATTAAAGTAAATGGGGAAATAATTCATGATCCGTGGCCATGTATACGGAGGCAGACCACCATTAAATTGTAGTTCGTCTATTTAGAGCAATTCGCTCTCTGTCTCTTTTCTACCCTTTTGCATGCCAATTTTTGTTGATTTTTTGGTCTAGAATGGACGAAGAGAATTTGAAATAACAATACAGCAACATTGTCTCTATATGAACTCTTGAAACTTAAATAAATTGAAAATTGATTTCTTTGTTCCCCATATCAAAGAGGTGCAGCCATCATTATTAGCATTTTTGAACGTTGAACTGATCCCCAAACGCTGCTCTTCGTGTTCTTCTTCGTGTTGTTCTTGTTTTTCGTTTTGTTCTTCTTCTTGTTCTTCGTTTTGTTCTTCTTGTTCTTCATTTTCTTCTTGTTCTTCGTTTTGTTCTTCTTCTTGTTCTTCGTTTTGTTCTTCTTCGTGTTCTTCTTGTTCTTCTTGTAGGCGCAACGCTCTTTGAATAAAGCTTAAGGCAATGCCAATTCAGGTGCACGAAACCTGACATGCTTGTTCGTAGGACTAATGTGCATCGCTTAAAGGACGTAAACCCCCGCCCCTACATATAAGACCTACCTAAACGTGAAGTATTATTTGGTATATTATGTATAGAGTAAATACATCAATAATAGATGATTTGGACGATAGAAACGTTTTGGCAATTTTTAAAAGTTATGAACAGTGTTAAAAATGAACCAATTTTGAAAAACTGGGAGGGCAAACTGACCATTTAATAAAATACCAATATTTTGAAATTGCTGCTTAAGTAAACCAATAGTTTGTCCTCGGAGACCCGAATGCATGGAGCATACTAGTAGATAATGATAACAATCTTCAAAACGGTGTCCACACGCGCAGACGGGGCTAATAATGTCCATGATATAATGGTTTTGTATTTGTTTGTTTTGAATGTATTTGTATATATATATCCAGCAATATTAGCACAACCGTAAAGCTGCACTACTTTGTTTCACGGTAAACGATGAAAAGATAAAAGGTATGCCGACAAAAAACTGATTTCAACACTGGTTTAATAACATTTTAACATTTTAAAGTACTTTTCGTCCGTCTTGGGACTATTCATAAATAATGTCATTGTATATCGAATCGTCAGGCCATTTTAATGCGTTACTATGCTGTTACATTAACGTTACGCCATAACAGAGGACAATGACTATGTGAAATATAAAAATCAAAACGAAATAACATTAATTAAATATCAAACATAATTAAAATAATCACCCCTTAGCATTCAAAACTGGGTTATATTTAGCGATGAAGTTGCTTTCCTTTGTTTCCAAGAGATCATTATCACTAATATTGAGTTTGTACAAAGGAAATATCTTGAATTGACCTTTACCACAAATATCCAAATGTTCGCCCACCGGCAAAACTCTATTTCTTGCGAGTTTTATATTAGAACGATGTTGGTTAATTACATACTTCGATTTGCAATTCATATTTTGTTTAACATAGAATTTAACATCTTTAGTAATTTGGACAAATGTTCCTTCTAATATATCGGAACATGTCATATATCGTACGTACCCACACTTGGATACACGGGGTACCGAAATATCAGAATCAAACTTTGATGATGTTAATACTCTTCTAAGATTTTGGGGTTGTTTTAGACTATTTATAATTTTTGAATTATTTAGGATGTATTTTAATTTACGACTATTGTTCTTTAAAATATCCAACCGCCCCTTTACAATGGACAACCCTCTTTCTTGAGAAGGATTAAATGTTGTCACAAGTGTTATATTATTAGAATCGTTGTCTTTTATTTTGGGGTTTCTGAGATCACCAGTGTTAAGTTTAGAGGCGTTTTCTATACCAATATTTATCAAGTTTAAAGGATAATGTTGTTTTGTAAGGAATTCCCTTAGCTCTTTCAGACGTTTTGATTCATCCTCTTCCGAAGATACAATTGTACATATCCGTCTTGCAAGATTATAAGGAATATTCCTTTTGGTATGCGCTGGATGACATGAACGAAAGTCTAAGTATTGATGTGTATTAGTGGTTTTATAAAATAAGTCGGTTCTTATGAAGCAATCATCCAGAAATCTCCTCCATTTTGGTCGTGAAACACAATTATTCATTGAAGCAGCATGGAGGAGATTTCTGGATGATTGCTTCATAATATTGCCAAATAATCCAGAACTCTTTATTCAACTCCATTCCCTGCTTAATTCGATGAACAAAAGTTTAAATTTCACGATCGAAAAAAGTACAACCAGTCTCAACTTTCTAGATGTGTCAGTAAGGCTCTTATCCACTGGAGAAATAAGAACCGACTTATTTTATAAAACCACTAATACACATCAATACTTAGACTTTCGTTCATGTCATCCAGCGCATACCAAAAGGAATATTCCTTATTATCTTGCAAGACGGATATGTACAATTGTATCTTCGGAAGAGGATAAATCAAAACGTCTGAAAGAGCTAAGGGAATTCCTCAACGATTCTAATTATATAACACTTTTGACAACATTTAATCCTTCTCAAGAAAGAGGGTTGTCCATTGTAAAGGGGCGGTTGGATATTTTAAAGAACAATAGTCGTAAATTAAAATACATCCTAAATAATTCAAAAATTATAAATAGTCTAAAACAACCCCAAAATCTTAGAAGAATATTAACATCATCAAAGTTTGATTCTGCAATTTCGGTACCCCGTGTATCCAAGTGTGGGGACGTACGATGTATGACATGTTCCGATATATTAGAAGGAACATTTGTCCAAATTACTAAAGATGTTAAATTCTATGTTAAACAAAATATGAATTGCAAATCGAAGTATGTAATTTACTTATTAATATGTAATGGTTGTAATGGCAAGTACATTGGAAAAACTACTGATCAGTTGAATTTACGAATTAACCAACATCGTTCTAATATAAAACTCGCAAGAAATAGAGTTTTGCCGGTGAGCGAACATTTGTGGTAAAGGTCAATTCAAGATATTTCCTTTGTACAAACTCAATATTAGTGATAATGATCTCTTGGAAACAAAAGAAAGCAACTTTATCGCTAAATATAACCCAATTTTGAATGCTAAGGGGTGATTATTTTAATTATGTTTGATATTTAATTAATGTTATTTCGTTTTAATTTTTATATTCCACATAGTCATTGTCCTCTGTTATGACATAACGTTATTGTAACAGCATAGTAACGCATTAAAATGGCCTGACAATTCGTTTGATAACGATGAAAGTACTAGCCAAAATTTTAATTTTTAGTGTTTTTTCTCTAATACTTGAATTTTACTCAAGTCGTCCACGTTCCGCCCACTGTTAAAGACCCCCAAGCGCAAGTGAATAATTGAAATAAAATTTAATCCATGTTAGTCCCGGAATAACCTAGTTTCTCCCTCTCCCTTGTTCCTTGGAAAATTGTGCATCGCTTCTACTACTACCAGGTGTTTTAACGTCCGCTTCCACAGAAATGATATCGCATCGCTTCACAGACTCCGCCTTTAATATAACGTCGGCTATGACGTCATACTCTGTTCCTGATCCGTTTAATAGTTTCGTATTTGTTGTTTTTAGATATATTACTATGTCCATTTTTTTATAATTTATAGATCGCTTGAGGAATACGAGTATCCTAGTCTATGAAACCGAACCATCAACATCAACACCATTTACATTATGTAAATTTATACCTGGAGAATTTGGTCGTACTATTCGTACCATAGAATGTGATGGAGTAACTATTGGTCAATGGGTTAGAATTACAAAACCTACCATCTATTTAACTCTATGTGAAGTTGAAGTCACGGGAACACTAATTTAAAGAGGGTGGTCAGGGAGAACGCTAAAAAAAAAGAAAGAAATTGCGCTTTGATATATACACTTCAAAAAAAAAGTAGGGGATATTCAGAAACAATACAAAACTGCGGAAATGCACTGCTATTTTTATTAGAGGTAACCAGTGTATGTTAATAACAGGTCAATTGCCTACACATGAACATAAACAGTTCATATTGGCGGGTTATCTGACGGCCAGGTTTCACTCGCAAAGAGATACACTGTCAAATGTGAAAATGGACGTTTTTGTTTTTGTCTTAATAATGAGTAATTGCTCCACCAATCCTCAGACATTCAGCAATTCGTCGTGGCATGCTCCTAATCAACCGTCCAATCACGATTTGGGGCAATCTGACCCACTCCTCTTGCAGTGACACGGCCAATTCTTCCAGTGTTGACGTTGACGTCGACGAACACGTCTCCCGGTCACGTTCCAGAATGCTCTACAGAGGAAAGGCTTGTGTAGTGGCTCTAGGACGACCTGAACGAGGTCTATCATCAACATTGTGTGTTTGTTGGTACCGGTTCCACAGTCTGTTGATCACAGACTGTGACACATTAAGCATGTTGGCTACCGCTCAATGTGTAGAACCAATTTGAAGCATGCCAATAGCATGTAGACGTTCATCGTGTTGAAGACGTCTCATTGCAAATTAAACGTAACACACTAACGCAAAGATAAGCTTAACAGTAATCTTATGCAAGAACCGATAGGAAAGCAAACATGGATAGGATAAACCAGCACGAGGCAGTTTTTATCAACCCTTCCTTGAAGTGTCAAATTTGACAATCGCACGCGCAGCTCAGTGGTTCTGTTTGAGCGATAAGTTCTTCATCTGTGAACATACTCTCAAAGCATGTTAAGTGTCCATGACTATCATATCACAACCTGCATAGGTATTTGCATTTCAATATCCCCTACTTTTTTTAAGAGTATATATAAGAGCAAAAGAAGGACATTTTAAAAATCATCTCTGGAAATAATATTTACGATTAACATTTAGTTTGGAATCGTTATTCGGGATTCGGCAATAAAACTAGACCGGCTTACCTTTCATTCCATCATTTTCTCGCTCTGACAGTAGGGGTAAGTGAACGTGGGGTGGTCGACTAGCAAGGAATGAAGTAAGATCTGACTCTGACAGTAGGGGTAAATGAACATGGGGTGGTTGACTAGGAAGAGATGTAGTAATTTGACCTGGCTCTGACAGTATGGGTAAGTGAACATGGGGTGGTTGACTAGCAAGAAATGAAGTAATTTGACCTGACTCTGACAGTAGGGGTAAGTGAACGTGGGGTGGTCGACTAGCAAGGGATGAAGTAATTTGACTGAAATTTCTAACATGTTTCAACTATCAGCTCTTTATCTAAATCTTGCATTTTGCATATTTAATGAACCAAACTTGCAAATATGGACTTTTGCTCTGCAATCGTCCCGTAACTGTTCTACACGTGTTGGCGTTGGCATCAGAATTAGTGTGTGAACAACTCGACACCTGGTATGTAACAGGTTGGTTACACCTGGCGTCAGGTAATTAAACTTTCAAGTATATATATTTTAATTGAGATATCTGGCCGCCATTTTCATTAATTTGTAAAATCTCCATCACCTTCATCCAAGCACCAATCTGATTAAAACACAGATCCTATTTCGTTTCGTTTTTTATAGTTCAAAATTTCGTTTTGCTTGTCTTTACTACACTAGGATCTGGAAGAGTTGTTATATTACCGGCGTTCTCATTGAAGTGAGAGATTAGCCAATGAAACGGTCTGTTACAGTGAGTTTTTGGCGTTTGATGCACGGAACTGCCACTACAACCGGTCAGATCTTCATATACAGTAGGCCATTGAAAGTATAAAAAAGCGAAACGAAATATAGATCTGTACTTTAATCAGATTGTCAAAACAATTCACATTTACAAAGTTTAATTAGAATGAATAGTTATTTAAATTTGAAAATCTGTTAAATAGATTGAGAGACGGGGAGATTTATGGTAAATTCTTTGTTAAGAGAAATCTTGTTTTTAACCAATTTAGGAATCTTTTCATAATAATTATTGGAAAAGGGACTATATGCCACTAAAGGATTATGTTCAACATCAGTATGGAGACGAGACAGTTAAGGGTGGGCGTCAGCTTAGTAAACTAGAAGGGGAATATATTCAAGTCTTTAATACATAGACCCACAAGTTTACTAAATGTCATTGTGCTTGCATAACGATAAGAGGATACTTATCGAAACGTCGTGCTTGTGTATAATAAAACAGTGATTGTTGTCCCGTATAACTGTGTTAGTTCTGTGTTAGTTTCCAATCGCTAAATGCCACTAAATGAAATGAAATGAAATGGAGTTTAACGTCCTACTGTTCTGCTCCTAACCTGGGCTAATGAAGACGGGCATACGCCATACAGTGTGCTATGAGGGAAATTTTGCCCGGACAGCGGCACTACGGCCTACTCTTATATCGAATTCCAACTGCCAAGGGATCTTTTACGTGCACGCCAATGTGTACACGGGACCTCGGTTTTTCGTCCCATCCGAACGACTAGATAGCTTTCCTTGTCAGGCCCTCCGTCCTGCATCACTGACAAGGGGAAACCACGCCGGAAAATCTGGATGAACTTTCTCGGCCAATGCAGGGATCGAACACCCGACCTCCAGGCTAGCGAGCTAGCGTCTTACCCACTTAGCCACGTGATCCCCTAAATGCCACTAAAGGATTAAGTTTAATATCATCAGTGACATTGGAAAAATAATTATTCATAATATAAGCAGCACTATCAGTTAAATCATCATATCCTTTATCATCTGATTCATTAGACAAATCGTTTATTTCTCTTAGCATTGTTAAAACATTTCCAGATAAGTTTTAAATATTTGTTGTTATCTTGAATGGTAGTTTTGATATATTTAGGATTAGAACTTGTTGTTATTTTTTTTTTATTTTGTTTCGCCAGAGTTTGCAGTTGATATGATTCTCTTGCTTTTCGAGCGTTATTGATTTTCAAATTAAACCATTCTGCTTTTTTATTCGTTTTCGTTTTGTGGGCGCATGCAGATTAAGAATAGCATTAAACAATTTATTCCTTACTTCTAATGCTATATTTAGGTTATCTAGACTCTCAATATCTGAAAAGCTTTGAAGAGAAAGATCATTTTAAAATATTATACCATTTTAGACTGGAGGCAGATAGCTATGGTATGAGTTTATTTAAAAAAGCAAATTAAATCGTTTATGAAATATTGTAGTGAGAATAACAGGAAATTGGGTCTAAAGATAAATTCCTACTGTCCATTTAAGGATAGAGCTAACGTCATTAAGCACGAGAGTCAATCATTCATTATATTTGGCCAATCAAACAACAAACCAAAAAACCAAAGGGTAGAAAACCATCAGGGCTGTGGGCGATTGGCAGGCATCAGACAGATTCTTAGAAGGGAAGATGTAGCAATTTCTATAAGCACGCTTGCTGTGGCGATTTCGGTGGTCTTGAGAGATATAAATATAACATGTAGCAGAGGCGAGAGTATGCGTCACGCGTTGGGTATGGGAAGTTTGTGAAGGTGCGACTAACAGAACTGCATCGTATGACATATTTGATTTGGTTGCCGAACTGCACAGTGCTACAATAGTCCCACATTTTGCAGTCACATCTTCTTTTAAACCCCTCCCAATCCATTCATTAGGTAATACCGGGTAGTATTGGGTGGTATTGGAACAGTCACCCTGCCCTCCTAGCACACCTACTCTCTCCATCAACCCATTGCTTTGAGGCTGGCGGAGTCGTTGGATTCACGTCCCATCCAAAACACTAAAACTTCTTGCAATCGTTTACCCACAGGAAACATTACCACTGGTGATCTTGGGCATTTGTACAACGTGGTTATTTAAAACAATTGATTTCTTTTGTTTACATAGGCGTACGGGCTCGAGGGGGGAGGGGGCGAGGTAATACCGGGTAGTATTGGGTGATATTGGAACAGTCATCCTGCCTTCCTAGCACACTTACTCTCTCCATCAACCCACTGCTTTGAGGCTGGCGGAGTCGTTGGATTCACGTCCCATCCAAAACACTAAAACTTCTTGCAATCGTTTACCCATAGGAAACGTTACCACTAGTGATCTTGGGTATTATTCCAGGTCAGACTTATATATATATGATTTTTAAATGTCTTATATTTGTATTTGTACAACGTGGTTATTTAAAACAATTGATTTCTGTTGTTTACATAGGCGTTAGGGCACGAGGGGGGGGGGTGCAGAACACAAAATGCCCGAAACAATTTCAGGGTACAACCGGTCTTCTGTGAGAGCGGAGGAGCGGAGCTTACCATGTAGGGGCACCCCCCCCCTCCTCCAGCAAGGAATTGTTGGAAAAATTGACGGCAGCAAGCGCGTTTTCCGGCCCCTGAATGTAGCCTACAGAAGATGGCTGACTCGAATTTCAATCAACCAACCAATCAATCGTTCATAGTAATCCACGGAGACGGGACCGTCGTAAGAAGATCTTGAAAATTTCATTGCTGCAAACGCGTTTTCCTGCTATCTCAGCCTGTGAATACAGCAACTTCAATGTGGTCCAAAATAGCGTACCTTTAGTGACAAACCTGAATCCCCAACAACCAATCAAGTATCTCGAAGTATGCACCTCCACCCCTCCTGGGACAAAATTTTGAAATTTAACTACCGCAAATGCGTTTTTCTTCTAATCTAGCTCGTGAGTTAAGCAACTCCAAAATTGTCCACTCAACACAAACTAGGTCATTTTGGGCCTAACATATGGTTTACTTTTATTTCGATAATTCGCTTGCACGTAGGGGTCTTTAGCAGTGGGAGGAAACCAGAGGACCCGGAGAAAATCCACGAGGTTGGACAGGGGACCCTACTCCTTGTCACGTACAACCGGGGATTGGAAACCACGCCAGTTGACTCAATGACAGGCCTTATGATACAGCGCGTAACATGGACTGGAAATCTTCCTTTTTTGTATTCCCTCTAGTAGATTGGGTGGAGCTTAACCGTGCAATCACTAGACATGTTCAATGTTATTGCACTCTTTTGCTGGTTTACACTAGTTTTAGTAGAAATCATATAGAGAAGTGGGTTGGGTTTTCTGTGCAATAACAACAAGCATGTTGAGCTGGTGTCAATGTTACAAGTCATTTATAGCACGCTTCATTCGTTAACAGGTTTAACATCTCGACCTACCGTCTCGATGTTTAAATCTTTTAACTCATGAAAGCCGTGCTATAAATATAACTTGGATTATAAAGAGATCAACACTAATTTGCATGGCAGTGATGTCTGAAAAACATACAATTTATTTTAGATAATCTAGTAGTCTATATATAATAAATTAAGACCTATAATATTATTAGTTTAAGTTGGTATTTAAGATGAACGAGGGATCAAAAAACTTGACAGTCAACCAAACCAAGGTATGAATACAAACAACGAATTCAAGTTCAAGGAAGCATATAAAAGGATCCTATCTTCAAATTTTGACTCCAGCATTTCATTTGACTCTTCAGTTTAATTTGACTCCACAGTTGAATTTGGCTCTTCAGTTTCATTTGTCTCATTCAATTTAAAAATGGAGAAGCGAGGCTTAGCTTCGAAAAACCAGTAAGGTGGTTGCAATTAATGCACACATCTTGCCAATCATTCAAAGATTAATATATTCGCTCACAATAGAGTAATTTGAATGAAATCTTCAATATATTAATTTTGCATTATCTTTTTTCGAACTATTATAGCAAGAATGGCTAGCTCTTTATCTAAATCTTACACATAATGTATCTAAGTTCCCATAAATAACTATCAATATCTGTAGAACATTGATAATTTACGATTTTGGGAACAACCATGGAATTTATCAAGAGGTAGCTACAGCAGACTGACAAGGAAACTGTGTCAGGTCCACAATTGTATACACTGAGGTGCATATAAAAGACCCCTTGACAGTTGGAATTCGAGGAAGAATATGTGGAAACATAGGCGTACGAGCTGGGGGGGGGGGGGGGGACACCAAATGCTGGAAAAATTTGGGCACACAATTGTATTTTGTAAAAGTTGTATAAAAAAAGATATTGTGTTCTTGAATGTGTCCAATTTAACAGCGAATTTATTATTATTATGTAACATACTAAGAACCTAACTACATTTTTTGGGTACCAACCACCACCGCCGCCCCCCCCCCCCCCCAGTCAAAAATTTCCCCGTACGCCTATGTGTGGAAATGCCACAGTCCTTTACACACCATTCTGCACACAGAGAGAACTATCTACTCTACTTCGAGAATAGATCTCTGTTTTTAAAGGGACAATAACACTCTTGCTGGCTTGAAAGCTCCAGAAAATAAATAATATCTCTATCTAAGTACTAGATGTTTAAGTGTCCTACCTGTTGTGTAAATTATCCATTACATCCTATTTTACTTGTCCAGAGGGTTCGAAAATATTTTTAAATCGAAGTTTCATTTGAAAAGGTTTACGTTGGACGTTTCAAACCATTATGTTGAATTTTTCAAAATTTTTAAATTAGGTGTGTTAAGATGAAATTTGTATCATCAATTAATTGGAATATTGTAAAATAGTACAATTTGTTGACCAGAATAAAGATTGGGACATATTATTCAGTTACAGCAAGAGTGGTATTGAGCCTTTAAAGAATCAAAATATCTCAGACGAATTAAAAAAAAACAAAAAAAACTCTAAAAACTTGACTTGCGATTATTCAAGCTTTTCACAAACCATAAACTTTAGCCGCATTCTTATCGCAAAACTTACCGAAGGCACAAATAGGCTAAATAAAGCATTTGTTCTCAAACAATAAGCTTACCCATTTTTTTTTCTTCGTGAATTTATTGTAATTTTAATGGTTTAAGAGACTGTGACTTTTACATTAACTAAATAATTCGCACTTAAAGGAACATTTTGTTGTCTTAGAATAAATTTCATTATGCTAAATCATTTCTATGTGAACATTTGATTATGAAATCTCAATTCGAAGTAACAGGTTTGAAAGGTCATTTTTATTTCTAAATATCAAAAACATCAATATCGATTGTCTGTGATGTAAAAAAGCAACAAGTTGAGAATAAGAATTTAAAATATGCTTGCTGTCAGTTTTAAGTCTACGTTTTGAAATTTGAAACCAAAAATTGTCTCTGCCCTAAATGGCTGCTATATTCAACAATTAGTATACTGTTTCGTAATGCGGTTCGAATTCAGTTCATATCTGGACTAATTTATTTCATTTGGCATTATATGCATATCATGTTGTATATTCTTCCACGTTTCCATTCTGAACTCAGAGAACTATCTACGCCACTTCACGAATAGACCTTTGTCCTAAATGACCGCCATATTCAACAATTAGTACAATGTTTTGTAATTAGGACCTATTCCTGTTCACATTTGTTATACACCAAAAGACTAATTAAACCTTTTCAATTTTATTAAACAAAAGCAGAATATATATACTTCTCAAAATTCTCGAAATAACCTTAGTGATTGGTGTTTTCGACTATATTTGTCGATTTAGAACTTAAAATGTCCGTCAACTAGCTTAGTGTCTGTTCTCAAGGGTAGATAACTATAAACAGACAGCCTAAGTTTAATAGGTTGGTACACATGACCATAAAAATAACATTTTGTTGACGAACATTGAAACGCATGCAATCTGGGGCCCGTTTCACGAAATTTTAAATAAGATAAAAATCCAAATTTTAGTAATTTGATTGGATAATATTAGATTGATTTTAGTGCATAGCCAATCAAAATTGAAGTATCTATTAAAATTTTGATTCTATTTTTAGTTAAGATTTCGAGAAACAGGGCCCTGATTAAAATACAGATCACTATTTTGATTCGTGTTTTTATACTTTCGATGGCCTCTACTACATAAAGATCTGACCCTATGACGTCAGAGTTTTGATTAACTAATCAGAGTTGATATTTCTATTGGGATACCCACAGTTCTGTGCAACACATACCAAGAACTCCCCATAACAGACCGTTTCATTGGCTAATCCTTCACATCATCCAGAATGCGGGTTATATAACAACTCTTCCAGATCCTAGTGTGGTAGAGACAAGTAAAACAAAATTTTGAAATATAAAAAACGAAAAAACGAAATAGGAACTGTGTTTTAATCAGATTGATAACTTTGGTACAGCCTTTGATCTTGATGTTATTTGAATTTAAACCTTGCTTACTGATATCAACACAACCAATAACAAACCAGAATATCATCTCACTAGCCAATAGGATCCACTCTACTATAATTCAAGCCGTGACGACTCGATATACATTTAACCAATAACAAGCAAGAATATCATCTCACTAGCCAATAGGATCCACTCTACTATAATTCAAGCCGTGACGACTCGATATACATTTGACCAATAACAAGCAAGAATATCATCTCACTAGCCAATAGGATCCACTCTACTATAATTCAAGCCGTGACGACTCGATATACATTTGACCAATAACAAGCAAGAATATCATCTCACTAGCCAATAGGATCCACTCTACTATAATTCAAGCCGTGATGACTTGATATACATTTAACCAATAACAAGCAAGAATATCATCTCACTAGCCAATAGGATCCACTCTACTATAATTCAAGCCATGACGACTCGATATACATTTGACCAATAACAAGCAAGAATATCATCTCACTAGCCAATAGGATCCACTCTACTAAAATTCAAACTTTGGAATTGAAAATAATCCATAATGATATAATAACAATATAACAACAGTTGAATGAATAAATAAAAAAAAAAAGCTGCAAAATCTTAGTTTAATATAATATAATATAGTATATTTATATATATTCCTGAAGCAATATACTTATAACACATGTAACAAACTAACATACCATAACACATCCACACATATTATAACTTTAACATTCTTCTATATTTTCTCTCATTTCATTTCTATGAGAGCAAAAATGAAGGAAATCATTTCTATAAATAATAATAATAATATCTTCAATTATAAAGCGCGTTAATACTGAAGAACAGTTTCTATATAAGACGCTATATTCGAGCAAAAGTGAAGATATCATTTCTATAATAATAACATCGTGAATTATCAAGTGGGTTAATATTGAAGAACAGTTCTAAGGCGCTATATAATCGAGCAAAAATGAAGGAAATCATTTCTATAAATAATAATAATAATATTGTTAATTATCAAGTGCGTTAATATTGAAGAACAGTTTCTAAGGCGCTATGAGAGCAATAGTGAAGAATATCATTTCTATAATAATAATAATATCCTCAATTATAAAGCGCGTTAACACTGAAGAACAGTTTCTAAGGCGCTATATTCGAGCAAAAATGAAGGAAATCATTTCTATAAATAATAATAATAATATTGTTAATTATCAAGTGCGTTAATATTGAAGAACAGTTTCTAAGGCGCTATATTCGAGCAAAAGTGAAGATATCATTTCTATAATAATACTTATATCCTCATTTATAAAGCGTGTTAATATTGAAGAACAGTTTCATAGGCGCTATATTTGAACAAAAGTGAAGTACATCATTTCTATAATAATAATAATAATAATAATATCATTAATTATCAAGCGTGTTAATATTGAAGAACAGTTTCTAAGGAGCTATATTTGACCACTAGTGAAGAAAGAGAGAGAGATTAACTCCACCGACACAAACTAGGTCATTTTGGGACTAACATATGATCCAATTTTATTTTAATAATTCAGTTGCGCATAGGGGTCTTTAGCAGTGGGAGGAAACCGGAGTAGCCGGAGAAAACCCACGAGATTGGACAGGCGACCCTACTTTTTGTCACTACAACTGGGAAAACAAAACCACGCCAGTTGACTCAATGACAGACTGTATGATACAGTGTGAGAGAGAAATGGGGTTTAACGTCCACTCGACACAAACTAGGTCATTTCGGGACTAACATATGGTTTAATTTTATTTACATAATTCGCTTGCGTGTAGGGGTCTTTAGCAGTGGCAGGAAACCGGAGGACCCGGAGAAAACCCACGAGGTTGGACAGGCGACCCTACTCCTTGCCACGTACAACCACGGTAGCCATTCGACTATCCACCCCCACCCCCTCCCTATTGGCATAAGACTGACGGATAGGCCTTGATGAGCTCTGACGCTCAAACTAATAACGGTCATTTTAAATAGAATAATTTGGCTTCGTAACCATTTTATTGCGTATTTACATACAGATAAACTAAGCCTTCAGCCAATATTGGATTCAGTGTTACAACAAGAGTCTTACATTATACAAGGGGTTTCAATAACTACTAATTCATGCTAAAACCCACACTATGGTGACATCCTTGAGTAGAACAGATGTAAATTAAACATACATTATACAAAAACTAAATCTGCCTATTGCGGGTCTTTCTTTAGGCCTGAAATGTTATCTATATTATTAATTAGACATTAATTAAGTTATCCAGACAATAATCAACTCTCGATGCAAACGCTAGCTTGTGTTATTTAGCGGATTGGAATACATTTTTAGAAAAAAGATTAAATGTAAAAATGAATAATCGAGACTTTATTTTTTATTGTACCAACTTTATTAATGACAATCGAGGTTAGGCCTAAAATGAAAAAGCTAATATCTCGGTTTAGAGTGAAAGAATTTGACTGGAATTTTCAGCATATTCTATTTATATTATCTATTTAATAACTATTACAGGAAGAACAGCCAACTCTTTATCTAATCTCCATAATGTCGCTTTAACAATATTTAAAATACTCAACTATGCAACATGACACATTAATAATATAAATTGGAATTGTGGTAGCAATAAATGAGAGAAAAAAATTTAATTGCAGCAGATACATTTGGGTTATTTTTAATTTTTATTATAAAAGCTAATTTATATATTTTTTTGTGTTTATTTTTTGAAAGGAACAGTCCGCTTTTTATTTTATGATTATTAGAAAAAGATTAAGTTTCTTATTTAAGAGAAGGATTTCAAATTGTATGCAAGTAAGTCATTCATACATATTGATAAACTTTCTATACAATTTCCTGATCTATGTGGGGTGTGGCACCAGGCAGGGTAAGCCATTCATACATATTGAAATATTTTCTATACAATTTCCTGATCTATGTGGGGTGTGGCACTAGGCAGGGTAAGCTTACTTGTCCGGACACCTGTTACCACTGTTCGTCGTATATTTTGTACACAGTTGACAGTCCATTTCCTGTTAACGCTATTTTGCATATAGGCCGACCGTTTTTTTTTTTTAGGACTTTGAATTTTGTCTAATGGTTTGGATTGTTCGTACTTTATATCTCGCTATCGGCCATTATACCATACGTACAGGCTTATACATACAGATTTAGACTTTCAGTTTTCAGCATATTAATAATTTATACACCTAGAAAAATTTGCACTGTACAAAACAGTCTTTAGGAAATTTATAATTTATACGCCTAGCAAGTATCGTACTGTACAAAACCGTCTTCAGTAAATTTAGAATTTATACGCCTTGCAAATATCCTAGCAAATATCGTACTGTACAAAATACACTTTAGTAAATTTAGAATTTATACGCCTTGCAAATATCGTACTGTACAAAACCGTCCTCAGCAAATTTATAATTTATAGACCTAGTATAAGCCTAGCAAGTATCGTTCTGTACAAAACCGTCTTCAGCAAATTTAGAATTTATAGATTTAGTATAGGTCTAGCAAGTATCGTACTGTACAAAACCGTCTTCAGCAAATTTAGAATTTATAGACCTAGTATAGACCTAGCAAATATCGTACTGTACAAAACCTTCTTCAGTAAACTTAGAATTTATACGCCTTGCAAATATCGTACTGTACAAAACCGTCTTCAGCAAATTTAGAATTTATACGCCTTGCAAATATCGTAGTGTACAAAACAGTCTTCAGCAAATTTAGAATTTATAGGCCTAGCAAGTATCGTACTGCACAAAACAGTCTCCAGCAAATTTAGAATTTAGACCTAGCAAGTATTGTACTGTACAAAACCGTCTTCATGAAATTTAACTAGCAAGTATCGCACTATTCGAAACATTTAGACAATTAGATTTCAGCTAATTCATAATTATAGGCCTAGTAAGATCTGTACGAAACACTTAGACTTACAAATCAGATTTCAGCTAATTAATAATTATAGGCCTAGTAAGAACTGTACAAAACATTTAGACTTACAGATTTCAGCTAATTAATAATTATAGGCCTAGTAAGATCTGTACGAAACATTTAGACTTACAGATTTCAGCTAGTGTACTGTGAATGTATATAAATATTTACAATCTAGATTATATACAAAGGCTAAATCAATTGTTGCATTGGTTTACAAAATGGTAGAAAGACAAAATAACCTCATAAAATATCAGGGCTCTTGTCATCCACACCTACGTTTCGTCAAATATTTGTATAAATATAGGTTTGTGTCGTTTGTTTTATACACTGGTACACTTGCATTAGTGTAGGGATATTTGACATGAATGACAACTTTAATAACAATGTTCATTAACTGCGATATTTAGTGAATTTGAATACTGTTTGCGATGGATGACTTAACGTAAAAATGGATAATCAAGACTTTGTATATTATGGTATCAATGGTAGTAATGACAATCAAGACTAGCCTAGAATTAAATCACTAATATCTTGGTTCAGAGTAAAGCAATTTGACTGAGATTTTCAGCATATTCTGTTTTCATTATCTATTTTTGAACTATTATAGCGAGAACTGTTAGTTCTTTATCTAATCTCCCATAATGTAACTTTAAGTCAATGGCTGATCTGTGTCCAATTTACAGCAGAAACAAGAGCCCTGATAACACAACCATAATTCAGACAAGTTTAAAGAGACACTCATACATAAATCTTAATGATATAATTCTAAATATGTGACACAAAAACAAGATACGCACTCCAATCAGAGGGACATTATTAACATGTTATTTACGCACTCCAATCAGAGGGACATTTAAATGTTAATTACTCTCTCCAATCAGAGAGATATTAACATGTTATTTACGCACTCCAATCAGAGGGACATTTAAATGTTAATTACGCACTCAAATCAGAGTTACATTTAAATGTTAATTACGCACTCCAATCAGAGGGATATTTAAATGTTAATTACACACTCCAATCAGAGGGATATTTAAATGTAAATTACGCACTCCAATCAGAGGGACATTTAAATGTTAATTACGCTCTCCAATCAGAGAGATATTAACATGTTATTTACGCACTCCAATCAGAGGGACATTTAAATGTTAATTACGCACTCAAATCAGAGTTACATTTAAATGTTAATTACGCACTCCAATCAGAGGGATATTTAAATGTTAATTACGCACTCCAATCAGAGGGATATTTAAATGTAAATTACGCACTCCAATCAGAGGGATATTTAAATGTAAATTACGCACTCCAATCAGAGGGATATTTAAATGTAAATTACGCACTCCAATCAGAGGGATATTTAAATGCAAATTACGCACTCCAATCAGAGGGATATTCAAATGTTAATTACCTGTACACACTCCAATCCGAGGGACATTTCAATGCTAAGTATTAATAATAATGCGATAACCAACTGATTTACAGCAAATCTAAATCAAATTGTTCTAAATACATGACAGTAAAGGTACATATTTTTATGAACAATAAAATATGAAGTCATTTCAGACAAGTTACAAACAGCGTCTGGTGATACGAATATTATCACCAGGGGTACAATATACACAGAATCCATGCCTCAAATGTTTTTGCACAATCGATCTTTAGGCTGCATCATGATCAATTTGGTTTTTTATTCTTTAGAAACACCTGATAAACAATCTGATTCAAACACATATCCTATTTCGTTTCGGTTTTATAGTTCAAAATTTTGTTTTACTTGTCTTTACTACACTAGGATCTGGAATAGTTGTTATATAACCTGTGTTCTGGATGATCTAAGTGATTAGCTGTTACAGCGAGTTCTTGGCCTTTTTAACACGAAACTGTGGGTAAACCTCTAGAAACGTCAACGCTGATCGATTAATCAATGGCTGACGTCATAGGGTCAAAAGCCGCTCGTTTGATCCCTGACGTGAACTCCCGCTATAACTTGTTAGATCTTCATGTAGTGTAGGTCATCGAAAGTATAAAAAACGAAACGAAATTAAAGATCTATATTTTAATCAGATTGATCTGATACCTCCTATTTCATTAGCTCATACTTCCAAATTTTAAAGTTTTGAAATTTTTAAACATAATGTCGATTACACGACTCAAGTGAACTGAAAATAAAATTGATTTGGCCAAAGTAGTCAAAACAGAAATAAATGGAAAAGTTGTCATCGAATCCTAGAAAAAAAGAGAGAGATAAATGGAGTTTAACGCCCATTCGACACAAACTAGGTGATTTCGGGACTAACATATGGTTTAATTTTATTTTAATAATTAACTTACATTATGGGCGTTTAGAAGTGGGAGGAAATGAGAGGACCTAGAGAAAACCTATGAGGTTGGACAGGCGACCCTACTCCTGATCACGTACAAGCAGGGGAATCAAAACAACGTAAATCAAATACTGATTTTACAACTGAAATATACTGGATATGGACTTTTGACAACAATAATTTCATATTTTACAATTTGTTCTAGAACTATGGCGCCATGAGGAATTGACCCACTCATGCTTGGTGTGATCATAGGTCTACAATTTATTTCAATTGTTAATCTTTTAAAATGTAACATTAATTTAAACATAGTATTTTGTAATGGACAATAAAAGGGTTAGGAGGCTTTTCAATCTGATTCAAATACAGATCTATATTTCGTTTCGTTTTTTTATACTTTCGATGACCTACACTACATGAAGATCTGACCAGTTTTACTCGAAGGTCGTGTCAGGGGTCGTATGAGTGGCTTTTGACCCTATGACATCAGACATTGATTAATCAATCATCACTGGCGTTTCTAAGGGTTTACACGGCAAGAAGTCGCTGTAACAGACTGTTTCATTGGTTTATCCCTCACTTCAACCAAAACGCCGGTAATATAACAACTCTTCCAGATCCTAGTCTAGTGAAGACAAGTAAAACGAAATTTTGAAATATTAAAAACCAAACGAAATAGGATCTGTGTTTTAATCTGATTGGATTTCATTCTGAGGTTAATCAAATTCGATAAAAATATCCTTATACTGAAAACTATTTATTATCCAGTTCATTCTGTTTCGTTTCTACGCAATCTCAATTAAATATAACAGAATACTTTTAGTTAAACATGACAATTCTGTGTAGTATTTCGCTAAATCGGTACAATCATAGGTTCCACGTCGGCCGTATATATGCCGGTCGGGACCAAGGGCTATGAAGTGGAACAACTTTCTCTGTAAAATAATGACCTACTATACATTAATTAACTATAATGACGTATTATACATTAATTAACCATTGTAGAACGTACATGTATTCCATTAACGAAACAAATGCCATCACAAATTAAAGTTGACAAGAAGATTCTAATTATTTTAAGTCCATTAAATACTATTTCCTAATCTAAAAGAAATAATTGTAAAATCTTAAATTAAATTAACCCCTATATTTGGATTTACTTATTTCGTTTTCACAAAAAACCTTGTAATTTTGTTTTTTTTATTATCCACATCCGTCTAATGGTCACGGAATACCTACGATAAATTGTGGAATCAATTAAGTTCTATAAAATAATTGGTTTCACTTGCCTTTTAATAATCTACATCGGTCTAATAGAAACCTACGATAAACTGAAATCTTAAATTAAGTTCTCCCAAATAATTGGTTTCACTTGCCTTTTTATAATCTGCATCGGCCTAATGGAAACCTACCATAAACTGAAATCTTAAATTAAGTTCTCCCAAAAATGTGGTTTAACTCGTTCTTTTTATCTGCGTCTAACCGACACCTATGACAATAGTGAAAACTTAAATTAAGTTATCCGAAATATTTTGGATAACTTGTTCTTTTTATTTATAATCTACATCGGTCTAATGGAGATTTTAACTATCTCTCCATTCTAAAAAAAACTATCTAAATAAATATATGTATATATATATATATCATTACAAAATCTCAAAAAAATAAAAAGAAAATAAACATATTTTTGACTTTTTTAATATTACACTAAGGCAGAACTCCCAGCCAATAATTGATGGAATAAGATTTTGAGCACTAAAATATTTGGTTAAATTTTGTTAACCCAACAGTTTCTCAACTTGCTGTGCCAATCCGTGAAGCTGAAAATAAACGGCCTCATTTCTCAGTTCGCGTAATGTTTGTTTATTCCTAGGTAAAGCTTCGGCATTTAATCCTCCATCACGTAGAAAGTTTAAGATGTATCGAAAGTGTGTTCCATCACGGTCGATAAACACGGTACCGTCTGCCTCTGTTTTGATTGGATGGCGTCCACTGAACATGGCAGCTAGCATGGAATCCTGATCTCGAGTTAACGTCAACATCGACGTTGTGTAAACATGGCCTCCAACATCTAATTTTACTCGTCCCTGAAACATATTTTAAAATTTGTACTGTAAAAAGGGTAAAACATTATCTTTATACAAGTCAGTATATGTCGATAAATTCTTAGGGGATGCTAGATTGTCACTCCCGAATTGACAGAATTGCAATCAAGTGATACAGAATCTAGCCATGACACACAGTTCTGCCAGTCCCGACAGCTGAGGTGGTGTGAGTAAAATTGTGACGTATTTTAAGTAGCAAATATGTTTCAGCTGTCATGATTGGTTGATATATTTTTTTATGCAGTCGACATCACTCGATTGGCACTAGTTTTGGAATTGAGATAATTTAATTTCGGAACGTTCAGTCGAGTATCCCCTTAGAGAAGTGTCATTTGTACTTCCCAAATTTTCACCCAAGTAACAAAGTTGCATTTGCAGATCATAAGGTCCATCCGTGGTTTATTTTTAACAATCTATTTTTATGAGAAATGAAATGAAATGGGGTTTAACGTCCTACTGTCCTGCTATACGGGGCTAATGAAGACGGGCATACGCCATACAGTGTGCTATGTGGGAAATTTTGCCCGGACAGCGGCACTACGGCCTACTCTTATATCAAATTCCAACTGTCAAGGGATCTTTTACGTGCACGCCAATGTGTACACGGGACCGAACGACTAGACAGCTGTCCTTGTCAGGCCCTCCGTCCTGCATCACTTGACAATTTTTAAGATAAGTGTCACTAATACTTCGCCCAATTTGTACTTCCTGCAATTTTTCACCCAAGTGACCAAGTGGTGCTTGCTGATCATAAGGTCCAACAATGGGTCATGACATGGTTTATTTTCAACAATTGTCTGCGACGAGGTGTAAGGTCACATGCTAAACATTGTGGGTTTTTTTCAAGTCACACATACAGCAATCTGATTAAAATACAGATCTATATTTCGTTTTGATTTTTTTATATACTTTCTAAAATTCTATGGCTTCCACTACATACGACATACGAGCGATCTATGGCATCATATTTTTTGCTTAACCAATCAGCTTAGATTTGTTTTCTATTGCTGCGAATGTCAAACCGGCGTTTTGTCTGCTAGACAACAAGAACTCAACCTAAAACACCATTTCATCGGCTATTGCCATCAACATCAACCAGAACGTGGGATATTTACAACCTATTATGATATCGAATTCAAACTGCCAAGGGATCTTGAACATGCACACCAATGTGTACACGGGACCTCAGTTTCTCATCCCATTCGAACGACTATATGTTATTCCTTGCCTGGTCCTTTGTTCTGCACCACTAACAAGGGTGAACCAAGCCGGAAAGTCCTGATGAACTTTCTCAGCCCATGCAGGGACTGAACATATGACCTCTTATTCACTGAACCATTGCGGTGAGAAAGAAAGAGAAAGAAAGAGAGAGAGGGGTTTAACGTCCACTCGACACAAACTAGGTCATTTCGAGATTAACACATGGTTTAATTTCATTTCTATAATTCGCTTCCATATAGGGGTCTTTAGCAGTGGGAGTAAACCGGAGGACCCAGAGAAAACCCACGAGGATGAACCATTGCGGTTCACTTTAACTCCATCTTCAATAGAAGGCTTGATCTTGTTTTAATTCTGTACATCAAGCCCTTTCCCTAATACGCTGCATATTTCGCCACTAATTTCGATTGGGTTCTGACCTAGCTTGAGAGCCTTTCAGATTCCTTGATCATCACGAACACCAAGTCTCATGCTTTCCAGCTAAAATGTCAAGGTTTCTGTGGAGTTCGCCATGTTTGATTTGAGTGTGTTTGTGTCACAACCTCGAATTGGACACTACTGTTCACATGTCTGCAGTAAAGAGAGACATCGTAGCTATAAGTTCAGAAATTGCAGACCAGTCTAGCAATGTCTAGATCAGAGGTCACAGTGGAACAATTTCGAGATGCTTAATCAAAATATGCAGACATTTCAAAATTTTCTGTTTTGCCCTTTACATCTGCGTGACTTAGAGCCTCTCAAAATACTCAATAGAAGCAAATAAAATCGATTTTGAATAACCCTATTTCAAGCATCCTTATTCTATTGATACTGTATTTAGTCTAATGAAGACTGGAGGTTGATGGCATATTCATGTTTGACAGCAGTCATTTCAAGCTTTCTCTTCGAAAGGAAGTAAAGAGCAAACTATCGCTTCGAAAGTCATTATTTGATTGGCTGATCGAATGTAAACAGTTTATCGTGTTCTATCCAATCCGAAGTCTTGTATGAAATGTGCTTTAGTTTAATGCTTTCAGTACGGCAAAATAGGGGGTGTCTCAGAAATTTAATATGAAAAAAATGCAGGATCAAAGGGTCCTAACGATTTTATCCGAGTTGAGCAAAGATCCGCCTTATACGAATCCAACTTATGTGAGGTTTACTGTACATGTATATGTGTGCATGTTTGGATGCAAATGAATTGAAATGGATGCAAATGAACTGGGATAATGAAGACGGACATACGTCATACAGTGTGTTATAAGGGAAGTTTTGCCCAAACAGTGGCGCTAAGGCCTACTCTCATATCGGATTCAAACAGCGTAGGCCAACCTCGTGGGTTTTCTCCGGGTCCTCCGGTTTCCTCCCACAGCTAAAGACCCCTATGCGCAAGCGAATTATTGAAATAAAATTAAACCATATGTTAGTCCCGAAATGACCTACTTTGTGTCGAGTGGACGTTAAACCCCATTTCTCTCTCTCTCAAACTGCGTAGAAATCTTTTACGTGCATGTAAATGTGTACACAGGACCTCAGTTTTTCGTGCCATCCAAAACAACTAGACAGCTGTCCTTGTCAGGCCCTCTTTCCTGCACCATTGACAAGGGCGAAACCACGCTGGAAAATCACAATGAACATTCTCGACCAACACTGGGATTGAACCCATGAACTCCAGGCTAGCAGGGCCCAATGTCTTACTCACCTATTTGGATGAAAAGTTTTGAGTGCGTTCATCCCATTTACAAGAAATGTAGAGATGAGAAATGCCTTAACAAGTCCCTTATTGCCATTCACAAAGACAACCAAATGACAACGTTTTTCCTTCTATTTCTTGAGAAAAATTAGGTTGCCAGGCAACAAAACATACGTCCACAGCAGCTAAATCGTCCGGGCAGTCAACAAGAGTTGTCGCATATTTTTACTTTCTTTCGGTAATGAAAAATTTAAAATACACTAAAATCTGATTAAGAGTAAAAAATCTGTAAATAGGCGAACAGCCTTCCTGATTTCTCTCAGCTACTAGTTTTGTTCTTATTCGAACTCTTCAGGCTTAAATGAGGATGTGTGGTGGCCCTCTATATATAGTGTCGGTGGGCACCGGAGCACATGTGATGTCGCAGATGGACCGAAGTCGATCTTTGGCACCGGAGTCGATTATTCCGAAAAGTGTGCAAAGATATTCGGCTAAGAATTTGCCGTCATGATTATGTTTATTTGCATTGACTCAAGTCTCCTAACCCTTTTGATCTCTAAGTTTAAAGTTTCGTAAACTAACGAGGGCTTAAAAATAACTATTAGATTATGGGCGTGTGTGCACTAATTTTTTATTAGCTTATGCTACAACTCATTAAGTAATCATTAGAAAATCATTAACATCGTTTTTATAAAGTTCTGCCCCATGCTAACGTTTAGTATACGAACACTTAATATCATGGATTTAGCTGTTCAAGTTATCAAAATTCATTGAAAATCAATATACTTGTTTGTCTCAAGACCTTAAACTCTGTGTATCAATCTGAAGTCAATCGGATGATAACTTTAGCCTCTAGAGCGAAATGAAATGGGGTTTAACGTCCTACTAGCCTCTAGCGCATCCACAAGATATTTTGAAATGATCAAGGGCCATAAATCTGGCAGTAATTATCGGAAATTGCTGAAAATCAATAGGCCTCTTCATCGCATGACCGTAAACACTGTGTATAAATTTAAAGTCAATTGAATATTAACTTTGGCCTCTATAGCATCCACAAGATATTTTGAAGTGATCAAGGGCCATAACTCTTGCAGTAATTATCGGAAATCGCTGAAAATCAATAGGATTTTCGTCTCATGACTTTAAACACTGTGTACAAATTTAAAGTCCATCGGATATTAACTTTGGCCTCTAGAGCGTCCACAAGATTTTTTGAAGTTATCAAGGGCCATAACTCGGGCAGTAATTATCAGAAATCACTGAAAATCAATGGGCTTCTTCGTCTCCTGACCTTAAACACTATGTATAAATTTAAAGGCAATCGAATATTAACTTTGACCTCTAGAGCGTCCACAAGATATTTTGAAGTGATCAAGGGCCATAACTTTGGCAGTAATTATCAGAATTCGCTGAAAATCAATAGGCTTCTTCGTCTCATGACCTTACACACTGTGTATAAATTTAAAGTCAATCGGATATTAAACTTTAGCCTCTAGAGCGTCCAAAGCAATTGTGGATGCCAGACCGAAAGACGGACGGGGGCGATGACAATATACGACCACATTTCAATGTGGGCGTATAAAAATTTTAATTAGAGAGAATTTTTTCTTAGAATCCCATTGAATTAGTACTTTGAAAATGTGGGTCAAAATTATCATGAAGTTCTCAATTTTATGTCCAATCAGTCACAATTTAGTTTTATAGTTCGACCTCCCTTCACAAAGTAATGTCTCATCATTCTCCCACATTCTGACTCACAGAAACTAAATTCAGAAGGGTTTGAGACAGGTAATGAGAGGAAATATATCGCTAATTTATTCTAGTGGATACAAAACAAAGAAAACCAACCAATCACTACATCATTCAAATTGTGGGTGTTGTGTTGGTTGAGGCAGAGAGAGAGAGAGAAATGGGGTTTAACGTCCACTCGACACAAACTAGGTCATTTCGGGACTAACATATGGTTTAATTTTATTTACATAATTCGCTTGCGCGTAGGGGTCTTTAGCAGTGGGAGGAAACCGGAGGACCCAGAGAAAACGTACAACCAGGGATTCGAAACCACGCCAGTCGACTCAATGACAGACTTTAT